ACAATGTCATCTCGAGAGAAGCATGGAAGCTCGTCTACTCTTTGCAATCACCCAGACGAGTCTACAAATTCCACCCATTCTGTCTATCCTGAATGCATTTTTTCAATGTACATGCCAATTTGGACAACCTCAGGTCGCTTACATTCATCGCGGACATCGAGTGATGATGGCTCAAATGACTGGATGACATATTTTGGATGCGCCTCTGATGCATTTGCTCTTGATGCTGCATTTGCTGCTGACTCAAAGTGACCGTGGAGCCGCCCATTTGACGCAGTTGACGCTGAGAATGCAGAGATTGCTGTTGTTGCTTCTGTTGGCGGGCCAGTTGCTGAGCCAAAAATTGCTCTTCACGCTGTTGCCGAAGACGTTCGCGATGAGCTGAATAGCCGGTCTGTGCAATACGACTTGCCTGTCCCGTGTCGACGGTCGTCATGACTCTGTCGAATGACACCTCCGGATCTGGAGTGTAAAGTTGCCCACGGGAATTAGTGTAAAGGAGTGAAATTGGTGAATAAATAAGAAGGAAAACTGGCCCACACTTGAGCCGGTGAGAAATCAAGAAACCGAAATGACTCTGAGAAAAGCATTGAGCTATTTTTTTTCACATTTTCTACTTCTGACGAAGATTACTCTGCTTGTCTGAATGATAAATAGTTGGTCAGCTGATAGATTTATAGGCCATTAAAAGACTACCACATCAAACTACCTCGGCTTCATCTAAGCCCTTTAAGTTGAGATAAATTATTTTTCGTATTTACGTATTCTTTCCAGACTACCAGTAAATCAGTAATATGATGCTGAAGGACTGGTAGAAGAATTTTTCCACAATGATATGAATAGAGCTGACGTTTCCAGTGAATTTTAGATAACCTTGCTTTCCTAAATTTTGGGAAATTCAATAGAAACGTCAGCTCTATTCATAACATTGTGGAAAATTCTTCTACCAGTCCTTCATCACCTCAAGCGAAATTGGGTGAATACATCTTATACTACTGATTTACTGGTAGTCTCGAAACAATACTTAAATGGAAAAAATAAAGTAACGTAGTCGATTTTTATAACAAACATGCGATTGCTTCATTGACAACCCCACCAAAGAATATGATATGGCAAAAGTGAAATTCACATTTGCCCTCAGATCCAGAGGCCCAGTGTTAACGCGTATAGCTCCCATTCTGAACTATCACGGTTCGACTCCCGTTGGGGGTGTTGACAAGACCGATGCGAGGTCGAAACTGCAGTCCACTCCTTTTGGGAAAACAAAGCTATGTGAAATTCAATGGAAACCTCAGCTCTACTCATATCATTGTGGGAAAATTCATCGCCTTAACGAAATTGGGTGAATTCATCTCATATTAAGATAACTTATACAAGACCCAAAATGCTTAAAATGTCATTTGACAGATCTCATAAAATGCAAAACCAATATTTAATCAATTTCAAAGGCGAAAAACTAAAATAGCACGTTAAAACCCCTTTTGATCCTTTATAAAAGATGAAATAATTGACGAGCACTATCATATTTGATCAGCCTGAAATGCTTTACATAAAGTGATCACACAAACCTACAAATATAAACCTCATCCTATGACTCAAATCCGAATAATTAATCTATACAAGGCACAAACCTCGGTCCGATAAAATAACAGAAAAGTAAAAAAGAATTCAAAGTAACCAAATTTTACCCCAAAAGTAAACACTAAAATAGCCTAATCGAAAGTTTGAAGACCACGATGGTGTGACCTTTTTGTATAGTCTCACGCTTCTTTTATTCAATAGAAGTTGTTTGACCTTGGTTTCGCAACTTGGTCATATTGGCAGAAGGACCTAGAAGA